TCCTCCATCCTCCCTGATGTCCTCCTCCTCCATCCTCCCTGATGTCCTCCTCCTCCATCCTCCCTGATGTCCTCCTTCTACTTCTCTTATTTTTCTCTTATTCCTTTTATACCTCCTAAGACAAAGATTTCTATCCAAGAAAAGATTACCTCACAACCACAAGTTACATATTTTCCAAAAACAAAGTAAAGTCTTTACACAGGAAGAAACCACGTTATGATCACAAGTTGTATGTTTTTCTTAGAAGCCCACAAGTAGTTAAACATTTTCCTTTGTATTAATTTTCCCACCATAACATCTTCACCCCAAAGCAATGATTCTGTTATAATTGATTAACAAAGTGTAAGCAAGCCAAGTATATTTCAGCCAGTTCCTTTGTACTGGCAGGCAGCTATTTGCAGTTACAAAGAAAGGATTAATTATTTTATTATTTATCTCAAAAGGTAATCTTATAAAAAAATCTTAATCACAAATCTAAACTTTTATGTATTAAAAAACTGTCATTTATATTTTAAATCCCCAGAGTACACACCCACTCATTAACAATTTTTTAATTAAATCATACCAGGAAGCTGAGGACAAAAATGGGTACAAGAAATTAATCATTGCTTTTGGTCACCAACCCATCTTTAGCAAGAAAGGTACATCAGCTAGTAATAACAGGCTGCCTTTGTTCTTGTTCCCTGGCCTTAAGGAGTCCCTTCCTCAACTATCAAAATGTGTACATCTAAGCATGGGCATGGATGTATGTACCATGACCCATGTGTGGAGCTAGGCCCACAACCTCGGGACCAGTTCTCACCATCTACCTTGTTTGAGGCAGGGTCTCTTGTTCACGGCTGCCTTGGCCGGGCTGGGAATTCTCCTGTCTCCACCTCCCTTTCACTGTAGAAACACTGTGCTGAGTGCCTCAGTGCTGTGTCTGGCTTTGTGTGGGTTCTGGGGATTTGAATTCAGGTCCTCATACACTTGTCACACAGCCCCAACCCTAAGGTTTTTAATTACCATATAATAACTACATGCAATAGGGAGTTTCATTATGACTCTGGACTTGATGCTTTAAAAGGCAGCTTCGTAGCTGAAGGTGGGGTGGTGGGGTGGAGGGGTACAGGCACAGACACACCCCAGCAGTCACCCAAGTAAACACTGGCAGCTCATCTTAGGGGAGTCAGCCTTCCGAGTGAAGGAAGCCACAGAGGCAAATGACATGGGGAACTCAGACTGGGCACCAAGCCTCCAGTGGAGCAGGGTTGCAGAGGGAAGCTTACCTTCAGGGTCGAGGAGACCCGGCTCCGGACAGGAACGTCGTACACCTGGGAAGGCAGAGTCGGCAACGAGGCCCTCGTAGGTCTGGGAAGCACGAAGAGGGTCTTGGAGAGAAAAAAGAATGGAGTCAAGATCCCCAGGATCATGGCTAAAGTCGTCTTCCAAACAAAGACAGCCACTGAGTGTCATCACCAGCAGGTGGGTCGGTCCATCCTGAGGCCCACAGGCTGAGGAAAGATGTAAATGCAGCCCAACACATAATCCTAAATTTATACAGAACATTATAAGGGTTTTTTTTGTTGCAAGCTTTAAAAACTTGATTGAACAGTTCCCAAGCATGAACTTTATAAATGACAACGTCATGTCACAATGTGAAGGTACCTGCTAGAGACTAGGAGAATGGGATGCTGATACGCAGGTCCCCTGGTGATGGGCCATAGTGCCAGCATCAGATTCCCCTGGGAAGTGGGTTAGATACAGATTCTTGCTGTGCATGACTGGTGGATGTGAGTGCAGAGGGGCCTTGGGAGCCTGCAGTAGAGGCAAGCTTGTCTCATGATTGGAGGCCAGCCTCGAACACCCTATGCAGCCAAGGATGCCCATAATCCCTGATCTTCCTGTCTCCATATCCCAAGGGCTAGGATTACAGGCATGTACCACATTCCCCCCAGTTTTATATGACGCTGGGTTCAAACCTAGGGCTTACTTAGGACTTTATGTATGCTAGACAGGCAGTCTAACCGAGCTACACTTCCAGCCCTATTTTGTTTGGTTTTATTTTAATAGGCTAAAGGACACTGGGTGCCAGGATTTACAGTCCAAAGGAAAAGGAAACAGGACTTGTCACACCAAGGCCACAGACTGAGGACTAAAGCAAAGCAAGAGAGGAAAAAAAGGTTCCTGAAAACCCAAAGGGAGATGGATCACCTAGCTAGGTGCTAAGGAACCAGGCACTGTGTAGGGTGCTTTCCAAGCTGGATCATTGGGGTGTGTATGTGTGTCAGGGTTTTAATGTGGAAATCGGGACAAGCCAGGCTGAGGAGCAGCTTCTGAGAACCAGGCCAGGTCCCTTTATTCCTCACTGTCCCTAGGACCCAGCTTGGGATGACACCAGTTAGGCTCTTGCTTGTGTTTGGTGAATGAAAGCACACAGTATAACACGTAAACACTCTGCTGGATATCCCTCAGCTGTGGTCCTGAGCATGGATAAAGCAGCTGTGAAGCCATGGGACATGTGTCTCTTCAATTACACCCTGCAGCTGTCGAGGGTCAAACAGACCCTTTCTCTATTTGAGACCTGCTTTCTTTTTTACAAGGCACATGGCTCTGTTAAAATCTTGGGTTCTCAGGAGCAGGACTTCCTGAAGTGCTGTCTTAAAAAGGAATCACCCACTGGTACCTGGAAACCTGAGTCACCCACATGGAGGAGGAGACTCCTCACAAGCTTGGATGAGAGGGTCTAGCTTCACATTCCATCTGTCTCCACTTCATGGTTTCCCAGGATAGACCTTGCAGCTTATGCTGATTCCTCAGGCTATCCAACACAGCTTCTGTTGTGTTCCATCTAAATCCCACCTTTCCCTCAAATTATTCGTCAGCAACTGCTTGTGAGACCCCTGCAGTGTCCCAGGTTCGGCAATCTTATGAGATCTGGCTGGGGAGGTGACTCAGTCGGTAAAGTACTTGCCTTGCAAACACGGAGACCTGAGTTCAATCCCCAGAACCATCATGAAAATAGCTGGGATCCTGGTCCCCTCTTGTGATCCCAGCACTGGGGAGGTGGGGATTCCTGGTGCTCACTGCCTATCCAACTTAGCAGAATGGGCAAGTGAGAGAGACCTTGTCTCAACCAACCAACCAACCAACCAACCAACCAACCAACCAAACAAACAAACAAACAAAAAAGGCAGGCGGTGAGATGGCTCACTCATTGGGTAAAGGCGTTAACCACCAAGCCTGACGATTTGAGTTCAATCCCCAGGACCCACATAGTGGAAGATGAGAACTAACTCCAGTAAGTTGAACTCTGACCTTCACATACATGCTGTAGCAAGCATGTGCCCCAAATAAATGTAGGGAAGTTATGTTTTTGTTTGTTTTATTTTGAGAAGAGCTTCACTATATAGCCCCAGCTGGCCTAGAACTTGCTATATAGGCCAGGCTGGGTGGCCTCAGGTCACAGGGGTCTACCTGTATCTGCCTCCCCAG